CCCCTGATACACTCCCAGCACCGTGGCCGCCAGGAGCAGCAGGTCAAAGACTCCCAAACCCACCAGCGGCAGCTTTCGCATGGCCCTGTGGTGCCCTGTCCCTGTCCGCCTCGTCCCTTCCGCTTCTGTTTTTCTCTTCTCCCTTTCCTCCCAGGTTGCAGGAGGGATGACGTTCGGCCGGCCGCCTGGTGGAAGGGCACGGACGTGGGAGTCACGGGGCATGAGACTCCTCCGACACCAGGGAAGGCCTTCGCTTTCTTCCCGTGGGTGGAGCAAACTCCCGACATGGCATGTATCTCTCGCTTGTCTCCAGCATCAGTTTCGGGTCTCTTACCGTACGGCGTGTTTTCGCCGGCACCGCCACCGTTTTTCCCGGGGGCAGGGCCATCCAAGGTACTGGCTTGAGGAAGGAGAGGTTGTCTCCCTGTGCTGCTGCTGTAGGAATTACTCTTCAGCGTACCACGCGGCATGATACTGAATATTGGGACCGCCTTCTTCCGAGTTTCTGTCTTGTAAGGGGGTCATGAGTGTGTGTACGGGGGCCATTGCTGAAGTGTTGCAGCGCCTTGTGTGCAAGTCATGCGCGAGGCAGTGTGCATGGGCGTGCACACTTTTTCATCGTATCATCCCTTCTACCCGATCAACGCATGCAAGAATATGGCACAAAGTCAACGCTCTCAAAATCGGAACACGCGGTTCATGGTCACGGTGCACAGCCCTAAGGGCTGTCAAAGGGGATAATTAAAATGGGCGTGGGGGGGGGCTGAGAGGATCGGTTCAGCAAAGATCGACGCGCAGCACGGAGATCCCTCAGAGAGGTTAAAAACCCCACTAGTAAAGATGACCACTCTCTTGCATGGACGCGTTGGCATTCACGCACGATCGGAAGGGACAGATGGATGCGTGGAGGACGGTCTCTGGGTGGATTTTCTGTTTTTCCCCATGGGGTTAGGGGGGACGAGCGTCGATTTTTCCTGGCGGCTTCGATTGCGATACTTCTATAGAAGTAAAGCATTGTCATAAAGCTTTCTATTTCTTAAAGCGCACGAATTCAATTTGGACAAAACAGAATAATCATGGTTGGAATGGACGAGCAGCAGTCGGGAAAAGCTCTTTCTCTGGCTATATTGGAGGATTTGCAAGGAAGTGCTCAAACACCTGAAATGGAAAGTGCCTTGGCGACTCTCCGGTATGTAATAGTAATGAAGATTATTGTGGAAGAATGATACGAAAGGCACGACATAGCACGCGACAAGTGAAATTGTCAGAGAAAGACGTACAATATGACGGTGCTATGAGAAAGCGGGCTCGTTTATAAAGAAATAGAGATCTGCGGCAGAAGACGAGAAGGGCTTTCACAGGAAATTCTAAGTGTCAAAATCTCACCTACTTGTGCCATAATTTTCCTGCAATTAGGTCCACTTTGGGAGTTGACCCTGCTCAGGGCTCTGATATTGCCGCCTATTCCTACAAACCGGCCACTTTATCCCAGATATTTACGGCGGGAG